CAACTCAGAATATGACGCAAACCTGCAATAATTAAATGTTAAATATCCTTTATGTATTTAATCCCATTCTATTAACCAATCAATGTCTTTGCTTCTGACCTTCGATGATCCAGTTCAACCGTACTAATAAGCACAAATTACTCTAGAAAAACATTTGTGTGTCTTTTTTTTATTGCTGAAGTGTGTTGAAATTTCTTCTTCTGCATTCTACTGCACGGACGTAAATTTACTTTCGAAACATTCTAACATTCTAAAAATTTTGGAAAAAAAAAAAAAAAAACCTCTTACTGATCCTATACTTTTGGGGAAAAAAGTTAATCGTGTGCACAATTTACTAATTAATTGCCTCGATTTAAGTAAATCATGCACACTAAATAATAATCCGTTCCACTTTCTCATAAACCTGTTGCTGCCGTTATGTTATGTTATTGACAGAAACACTTTAATTGGGTTTTATTTTGAGTTGGGAATGAGTTAAACACACATTCTCAAAAGCCTTGCAGCATTGCATGGAATCAAGTGAGAGGGTAACGCAATATTGTAATGCATTACTTTTAAAAGTAACTTTCCCCAACACTGGTCAGCAAATACTTTTATGCATCATTCCTTCTGCACACACAGTAAAGGGACGCACAAACCTGAAGATAAAGGAGAAGTATCTCTCTCCGGACGCGTTCGAGGCGTCGGGCCGCAGAGGCAGCGCTAAAGGCCTGACCGTCAGCAGATCTAACTCCAGCCTGAGTTTATACAGCAGCGCTTCGGCTCCCAGCAGCCCGCTGACACGCAAGGTACACCAGCTAACCGCTAACTAACCAACCGCATTCATACATACGGTACAAAACTGAGATGCTCTAATGTTTCTTGTGCCTGCATGTCACTGCTCAGATTGATTTTTATAAAGTAACTCTGTTTTTGTGCTGATATAGGCATTGCTACGCAGAAGTTTCTCTGGTGAGAGGTGCATTCGACCCAGGAGCTCTATTGCAGCATTAGGGATCGACCATTTCTCTGCCGACATCGACTCACCTTCACCTACAGGTTAAACTCACGCCTCTGCTGCAGTCTGCATTTACCATATTTTGTCTTGTTTTCACCTAAAAATGTCTAGATGTAAAATGTTACGGCTTGTTTTAGATTATGGTTAAAACAAATTGTATTACTGTATTGTATTGTACGGTGCTGCACTGTACTAAATTAAAAATACAATAATATTGTGAAATATGGCTGTTTTCTATGTGAATATACTGTAAAATGTAATTTATTTCTGTGAT